TTGGTTTTCGCGTACTAATTTGGTTCGCTCCGAGCTAAACTGTTAAATGAAATGAGCAGTTTATGAGCTTGGCTCCACTCGTGTCGTTAAGACTCTAGTTCGACTCAGCTAGTTTGATGAGCGAATCGAGCTCGGGCTTGGTTGACTCGTTAAGAATCAAAAAAAGAATTTGTATGTAATTTTCTATAGTTCAGTTTATCAAATCTCGAGATCGACTCGTTAGTATTGATAAATGAGTCAAACTTGGGCTCGATTTTTGGCTCGTTTAATTAACGTTACGAACCAAGCTCAGCTCGCTAAAGGGTCGAGTTCGAGCGCCGTAAGCTCGATCCAGACACAACTCGTTTACAACACTACTTCGAACCGCCATTGATCGCCTCGTTTTTATCATGCTAACTAGATTAAAAGCTACTCGTGTTACAATGATAATATATTCAAAAATCAACATTGATCGTCTTAATGATCAAGTAATAATGTCGAACAAAACCTTTATTGATCATCTTAATGGTCAATAACACCATAAGAACATATATTCAAATAAAGAAGAATGTGACACTACCGCCCAATGTTGATGTATTGAACTTTCCATTGATGTATTGAACTTTTAATTTGCTTGAATACAAATTTCATTTCAAAAAAATAAAAAATAAAACAACTAAACAGTTGAAAAAAGTAAAAACTAGGACTAACCTCATAGGCATATAACCAAGACAGTTTATATCAACCTAAACACAACACAACAAAGCTAAAAACAAATATAAAAACCACAACAAAAGTTCACAACTAGAGAATATATATATCCCCATAATTTGTATGTGAGAATTTTGGTATTATGTAGTATCAATTAGTACCTCAATTTTACTTGTTATTCACTTTTGGTATAAAAAGACTTTAATTAATCTATATTGGTTCTCAATTTTTCGTCCGTTAATCAATTTCGATACAAACCGTCAACTTTTCCAATTATTATTGGTTCCCAAAGTTTTGCCCATTAACCAGTTTCAACCAAAATTGTTATCTTTGAAGTTATAATCTAGCGGAATTGAAAAAAAGTGTTAGAGCAACTCCAACGCTGCGTTGGAGTTGCGTATTACTCTCAAATAGAACAGAATATTTGCACCATTCCTACGCTAAATTTTTGCGCTATTGTAGATAAATGAATTGGCGCAGCACTGTAGCAATGCGCCATTTTTTTTTTTTTTTTTTTTTTTTTTTTTGTATTTTTAATGTAATATTAATGATAATATTTTTGTATAATGTGTATTAGTAAATGTATTTTATATTAAATAACTTTGTGCAATGTATTTTTTATGCTAAATAATTTTGTGCTTTTTAGTTATTGATGTATTATAATTTTATTTTGTAATTTTTTAATATTAAAATATGAATAAAAATTTACCACATTCAACAAGTAGATTTTATCCAAACTAAAATTTACATTGAATCGTAAATCATAAAATACACGAATAAAAACAACATAATATTAAAATCAATTTATTTAAATAACAATGATTAAAAAATTATATTTGATGTAGAGTAAAATGTAGAGATAAGGGTTGAAGATAAGACCATCTCCAGTCATTTTCTCTACTCTAGTGCAGAGTTTACTATACTCTAGAGTAGAGTTAACCAAAAATCAAATTTGGTCTCCAACTGTTTGCGCTACATTCTACTCCACATATATTATTCATATTATTTTAATTTATTTAATATGTTAAAATATTATTTAATTGGACATATTATTTTATAAAATAAAATATATCGTGATACTAGTTGGTCTTCCACTGGTTTGAAATATTGTTCCACAAATAATTATTATTTTTTATATAATATTTGATTTATTTTATAGTAATTCAATAAAAAATATACTTTTTAATAATTTTTTTTATATAGTTCTCAAATTAAATTATAAATTTAATGGTAAAAACTTTGTCAAATAATGAATTTTAAGATAAATCATTGCATATAATAAAAAGATAAAAAACAAATAAAAATTGTAGAGTAATGAATAGTACCGCGCCAGATGTAGCGCGATACTGTTCATAACTCTAGAGTAGTGCAGAAATGTAGCACAACGTTGGAGAGCAAATTTATCTCTACTCTAGCGTAATACGCTAGAGTGGCGCAGCACTGGAGATGCTCTAAATATTTCACTCTACTCTAGAATAGAGTAATGTCCGCTGGAATAAAGATAATTGCTGGAGATGTGTTAAAGTTGTTAGAAATAGAACTTGTAATTGGAAATAATATAGAAAAAAAATAAAATAAAATAATGAAGCTCTATTAGCCACCAAAAAAAAAATACAAATTAATTGCAATAATTGATGGTTAACCAAAATATTGAGTATCAAACTTAAATTTAGTAAAAATTTTAGGTATAATGACTAATATTTTTATCTTTATGTATGTATCGTCACGCAAGAAAAATGAACACACTCGCTACACACCGAAAGTAATTTCGGTTTCCCGCTCATCTCCTACATTTCCTCCGGCGACAAGATTTACCAGGCGGGAAAAGTTTCCACTCGCGTCTTCCGAGCTAATCCTCTCACTCTCTGCACGCTGAAAGCGCCGGCGTTCCTTTGCACAGTTCAATTAGCTTCTGTAAGTTGATTCATGGAAGACGAGCAGTTGCCGCCTGAACCACCAACTCGCCGATCGGTTAGTTCAGTCAACTCCGAATTTCTAAACCTATTTCTAGTTTGATTGTGATGTGAAACCCTTATTGAGCTTGTTTTGTCTCCTTTTATGCTGTTCTGTTGTTTGTGTTTGAGCAGAAAAGGGCTAGGGCTCAGGTTATGCCTGCCGATTTCACGCGTTCGGACCAAATTGAGCTTGAATTGGAGGAAGAAGACAGGAGGGAATCTTCGGATGACTTACAGGAACCTCGCCGGAAGGCTAAGAGAAACAAGGCGGCTGAAGGTGCTTCGACCTCAGCTGCAGCTGCGCGCAAAAATAGCCTGATATTGATTGGTATACCTTTTTTTTTCTCCTCGCCGTTGTGTATTTTTATTTTACGTAGTGGTATGAGATGCATGTGGATATGAATATGGTGTTTGGGTTTGCAGCATTTGTGTTTCGAAATTAGATCCCTAGGAGAATTCATCTATTTAAATTTGAAGCATAGGTCCTTAGTTCCTTGTTATGGAATCACTACAATCTGTTACCCTCGTTGAAATTTTTGGTAGAGGTTGTAGGTGTATGAGAATACTCATTTTATGGTAAAAATTAATAATTCACAAAAATTTGGCATGTTCTTGAAATGGTTTCCGGAAATGATTAGCTTGGGAGACCCTTCTTGTTTTTTCATTTGCTTTGTGCATATCCAGTTCTTATGATAATGTTCTAGTGTAGATCACTTTTTTTTTTGGTGCCCTGGGCGTTTGATGGTTGACCGTAGAAGGTGCTGTTATGGGTTTAATGGGTTGAAACTCACAAAGCATTTACTGTAGCACAGCGGCTATTGACCTCCTTTTGCATTTCTAGGACAACTATTATGCAATTTTATGTGGACTTAGGGTTCAGATGAGTTTTACTTCGTTGACATAATTTTTTTATCTCCTGTTGTGAATATGGATTAGTGGCTGTGCAATTGATTAAACAAAAGAACCTCGGTAATGTGTCTGCAGAGGTTATCAAAGGTGGAGGAAAAGAAATCCCCGATGTAGTTACCCGATGGGTTGAACAATATGAGAGGAACCAGAAGTCTGCAATGGCCGAACTCTTAACCATGCTTTTTGAGGTTATTAATAATCTCCAAGTTTTTGCAACTGGTTTTCACCAATTTATACTGCTATTTAATTGTATTACTATTGGCAGGCATGTGGAGCTAAATTTTCTATTCAACCAGAAGATATAGATGACACTGATGTTGATGATGTGGTAGTTGCTCTTGTAAACATGGCTAGAAAAGTATCCTTTCCTTGCTTATCTTGTTTTCTTAGTGAGTATTGGTATGATGCTCTGATGCCTTGCATATGAATTTTGTGTTGTGTTCCCATTTTTCCATACGAGCCCTGTCGCCTTCCCACGGACATTACTAACCAGAAAACTGATGAAGGCATAAGGATTGGATAATTGGATTTTTCTTAACATCTTGCGATCTAGGGAGAAATTGAAGATTATCAGAGTTCAAAGAGGGACTTCAAGCATTTCAAAGATAATCTTGTATATTTCTGGGACAATTTGGTCAGTGAATGTCAGAATGGACCTCTGTTTGATCAGACGTTATTTGACAGGTGCTTGGACTACATTATTGCATTGTCATGGTAAGTACACATTGTTAGGGTTTCAAGAATGAATATATAACTTTATACTTGTATTAAGCCCATTGCCTTGTGTTTTTCAGCACTCCTCCTAGATTTTATCGTCAAATTGCGTCATTGATGGGGCTTCAACTTGTAACATCTTTCATCAATGTTGCTAAGATTCTTGGTTCACAGAGAGAGACCACCCAAAGACAGTTAGACGCAGAAAAGAAGAAAACAACTGAAGGACCTATAGTGGAATCACTTACTAACAGGTTGTCAATGACGCATGAAAAGATAACTACCTTAGAAAACATGATGGATAAGACTTTTAAAGGGTATGATTGCTTTTGATTTGTTCATCACCATTGATATGATTGGTATATTAGTTGTCTTGTTCCATTCGGCATTTATTTTTGTGCTTTTACTTCATCTACACGCATTACTTTTTGAAGGTTATTTGTGCATCGTTACCGAGATATTGATCCAGACATTCGAAAGTCCTGTATAGAATCACTAGGCGTGTGGGTATTGTCATATCCCCCATTTTTCTTGAAGGATTCTTATTTGAAATATCTTGGATGGACATTGAATGATAAAGTAAGTTACAATGGTTAATCTAGTGTCATGTCTATTCTATTCTTTTTCTTTTCAATTGTTAATTATTTTCTATCTTTTTGCTTCAAAGAATTCTGGTGTTAGGAAGGCTTCTATTTTAGCACTGCAAAATCTTTATGAGGTGGATGATAATGTTCCATCTCTTGACCTCTTCACTAAAAGATTCTACGCGCGAATGCTCGAGCTTGCTGATGACATTGACATTTCTGTGTCAGTATGTGCAATAGGGCTTGTAAAGCAGCTATTAAGGTACCAGTAAACTGCTATATATATATATATATATATATATTTATATAAAGTATGTGTGTTTAAATTTCAATCATGAACGGGAACAATCTCGAAACTTTCTAACAAGTCATTTTGTGCTAAATTGCAGACATCAACTTGTGCCTGATGAAGAACTAGGCCCCTTATATGATTTGTTAATCGATGATCCACCAGATGTTAGGAATGCCATTGGAGCACTTGTTTATGATCATTTGATTGCTCAGAAGTTTAACGACTCACAGTCTCGCTCAACAGGTTTCTTTTTCCTGCTTTCTAATGCATCTGTTTTGATTAATAATTTGTTAGTTAAGATGCTGTAATTTTGTTCCTTCACAGGCAGTGATAATGATTCATCAGAGGTGCATATCAATAGAATGTTGCAGATTCTAAAAGAATTTGCAGCTGATCCCATTCTGAGTTCGTACGTCATTGATGATGTTTGGGATTACATGGGGGCTATGAAAGTACGCATGCCTACAACTGTATATGTGACTGGGTGATTTTATGTAGTTTCAGTGGCCCATAATCATTGTAGATGCAAAAGGATATATATGAAAGCTTCTAAAATTAGTAATTTGCAGGTGGCAAATTTTCTATTATTTGCCAATTTATTTGTAGGAGTAATGAAAAAATAAAATAGCTGGAGAATCTGGATGTGGTGAATCAATTTTTATTTTATTTTATTTTTTGACTAACAATGACATTCGACTTACATCGGGTATGACCTTCTATTGTTAACATTATGTAGTGAATGGATGAAAGCATACTAAGTATTGAATATCCAAAAGTTTGGTGAATGACTGGTTATATAGAGTTAATTAAAATAATTTTATTTTTTTATTTATTTTTTTATTTTTTATTTTTTTTTTTGTATACTGCTACTTGATGATAAACACACGTTTCATGACTTCGTCACAAATTTTTGCTTTGACCTCTTATATTCATTGCTGTTGATTCTTCTCCGGGCCTGCATTAATGGGATATGAACAGCTGTTATAATTTTTGATAAAAAGAGATTTCTACTTATTACAATATAGCCTAAATCAATGTATATAAGGTTGGTGGTCTGATTTTCTTTTAGCTGGCTGAAACTTGCATATAATATATATGTATGTCTTACAAAGTTATCATTTTACTTGCAGGATTGGAAGTGCATCATTCATATGCTTCTTGCTGATAAACCATCAGCAGAGCTTGATGAAATAGATGCCAAAAACTTGATTAGGCTTCTCTTTGCATCTATAAGGAAGGCAGTTGGAGAAAGGATAGTTCCTGCAACTGATAATCGAAACCCACATCATACAAAAGCTCAGAAGGCAAGTTCAGTTTTCCCTTTTTTTTTTCTTTTACTTTTTGTTAGCATTCCAATTTGTGATATTTTTAACTTTTTATCTATTTATTTGGATATTTTAAGCTCGAATGCGATGAACTGCTATCCTATCAGTGTGTTAAAATTATTCTCCTTGCAAGTTGCAACTATTGCTTCTCTATTCTACAGAATAGAAGTAATTATTGTTCACCTCTCTTAATAATTTCCAGGAGACATTTCAAAACAATAAACGTGATATCACAGTTGCCATGATGAAGACTTATCCCCAGCTTCTAATGAAGTTCATGTCTGATAAGGACAAAGTGGCACCTCTAGTTGAAATTATTGTTTACTTGAATCTCGAGCTTTATTCTCTGAAGAGACAAGAAAAGGTTGGTTTATTAAATTCTAACTGTGCAGATTAATCCACCTAGCTTATGGTATATAATCAAATCATGTTGATTGTTTCTGTAGAATTTTAAGGCTACCCTTAAGCTCACGAGAGAGGCGTTTTTTAAGCATGGGGATAAGGATGCCTTGAGATCATGTGTAAAAGCAATCAAGTTCTGTGCTGTTGAGGGCCAGGGAGAGTTGCAAGACTTCGCTCAAAACCAGGTCAAGGAGCTTGAGGATGACTTAATTGTGAAACTGAAGTCTGCAATAAAAGATGTCGTGGTATGCATCTGCACGATATATGTTCATTGTGTTTGCAACTTTGCACGGAGTTGTGAGTATTGACATGTTTCTTTTGCAGAATGGTGGTGATGAGTATTCGTTACTTGTAAATTTGAAAAGGTTGTACGAACTTCAATTATCGCATAAAGTTACTCTCGAAAGCTTGTATCGAGATCTTGTGCATGTTCTTCGGAGTTTCAGAAACATAGATGATGAGGTGTGCGCATTAAATGTAGTAATTTTGTTTTGAAATTCCTTTTTCACCTGCTAACGAGTATGTGCGTGTGCCTTTGTGCTAATTCAGGTTGTTGCGTTTCTGCTCCTTAATATGTTCCTCCATGTTTCTTGGTCTTTGCAATCTGTTCTATCCAGTGAAACAGTGTCAGAGGCATCTTTATCTTCTCTGGTTGAAAAGCGTGATGCGTTGTTTGAGGAACTTAAATACTTTCTTCATAACTATTTTAAATTTCATGGTGATGGAAGATGTAAAAATCAGCTGGCATACAGAGTAAGCATATACCCTTTCAGTTATTTATTGATTCTCTCTTGTGCATGTGAAACCTTTTTAGTTTGACTTTGACCCTGTCTTGCATACTTCGGTAGGTCTGTGGTGTCCTTGCAGATATGTGGTGTTTGTTCAAAAGGACTAAATTTGCTTCAACTAAGCTGGAAATATTAGGTCACTGGCCTGATGAATCAATTGTTCAGAAGTACTGGAAATTGTGTGAACAATTGCTCAATGTTTCAGGTAACAAACTGCACGTTTTTATCATATTGTAAGCCTGATATTGTGCTGCGGGCATTACTACTCGTTTGCACATTAATATAGAGGGCTGTATATAGCAATTGCATCATCATAAGCCAGCAATTTAATCCATGTGTAACATCCAAACTCCCCCCTATCGTTGCTAGAAGAGAGAGGAAAAAAAAAAAAACCGAACTCCCTTTTTTCCTTGGATATGTCACGTTTAGGTTCATGGGTGCATGGGGTAAGATTGGTTGATTGCATGTTAAAGCTGGCATGTCAACCAAAGATTTTCTAGTTAACCACATGGTGTTGTGGATTAGCTGATCTGAATGAAGGTTATTTGGAAAACTTGCAGGTTTGAAGCTACTCTGTGAAGTCTAAACTAATGTGCTAGTGCTAAAATATATGTACTGAACAGTGATATTTAAAGTAAAATGTATCTCATATTTACTGGCATGTAAAATGTTTTTTTCTTTATCCTCTTTCTGCTTCCCTTACCATGGATATAAACGATTAAACAGTACATGGGGAAATATTGAGATGGCTAAGGTGTCAATATTTACATATATTTTATTATTTTTTAAAAAATATTTTTGGGTTGACTAATTGTCCAAGACCACTTTTTACAGTACATGCCCATCGTCCTAAAGTACGCATTGATATGTGTACATATCTGTATTGTCAATTATCTGCTTTGATGTGGAATCATGTTTTTAAACCTTTGATTCATCACAGACGATGCGGAAGATGATGAAGGAAATGGAGAATATGTAGAGGAGACTAATGCAGATGCCGTGATGTTCGCACTCTGCAAATTAGTGGCTACCGAGTCAGTTTCTAAGGTAGCTATACATGTTTATTAGACTATGTTTTGTCGTGCCCATATTTTTTAAGTTCTATCTTTACTTTTGTTTGCCATTTATGGATGTTGGTTTGTGATTTATTACGACCTGCGGAAACTGCTTTGACCGACACTTATGGGGCAAATTGTCCTGTGAACATGATGGTATTCTGGCTGCAGGAACATTTGGCTGCAGAGATTATTTCCAATTTGGAGAAATATACCACAAGTGTTGGTGAAATTGTTAAGCATCTACTTAGTGCCTTGAGGAAAAAAGGAGATATTTCAAGCATTCTTCTAGAAGCACTGAAAAAGGTGAGATTTGTATATTTATATAATTTTTTTCTAATGATTACTTTGTGATTTTTCAATCAAAGGCTTCCTTGTTCCATGACTGTGGTATGGAATTAGCTGAATAGAAACTAAACTCAACTTTATGCGACCCTATTTTTATATGGGGTTTAGACTTTAGATGGATATAAGAAGAGAGCAGGAATAAGATGCATAAAAGCATAATTCAAGCCTCTGAATCCTTGTTCATTTATTCATAGTTATTTTTTTGGTTATTGCTTACTTTTCTTTGATACTCACTTTCGTCATTTTTTGGATAGGCTTACCAAAGGTATATGGCTGTAGTTTCATCTGGCAATGATGAATCACTGTCAAGCAAGTCCTTTATGGACTGCAAGGATCTTGCTGCTAGGCTGTCTGGCTCGTACATTGGTGCTGCTCGGAATAAGTATAAATCTGAAATTTTGTTTATCGTCAAAGAAGGTATAAGTTTTGCCTTTTCAAACACTCCAAGACAACTGTCTTTCCTGGATGGCGTAGTGCTGCATTTTGTATCCAAGCTTCCTGGACCCGACATACTTGACATGTAAGAGCTTCTTCCAATTGTATTCATACAGAAGAAAAGGATAATGGACTACTTAGATTAAGGATATGGATACCTATCTTTTTTTTTTCTTTTTCTTTTTTTTTTTCTTTTTTGGTAAAAGTGCACAGAAATTGACAGAATTTTTTGGTGTCTCCTTTTTCAATCATTATGAGAATTCTATATTCACCTAACTTCATTGTTTGAATTCCTTATCTGCAAATTCTTTTTTGTTTTTTCCAAATAAATCCATCCATGCGTACACAATGAATGCTCAAAGGGTGTTTTCCTATTCATTTGGTTATACTTTCTGGTTATTGGCAGTCAGCTGTCTTCTTTATTGAAAATTTAAGTATTCTGGTATTCATATAAAATGATTCTATGCTTTACATACAACTCTTATTTATACAAATTACCAATTTAGAAATTTAAAAGAACTACTACCTGAGAACTCAAATGTTCTACTGATCTTGGTTATTTCGTAGATAATTTATGCTTATGTTACTATATAGAACTGTCCCTGACCAGTTGGCTTCCTTCTTATTGCCAGTATGAGGGCAGTTGAGCGAAGAACTGAAAATGTCAATACAGACCAAGATCCGAGTGGCTGGCGTCCTTATCACACATTTGTGGACACTCTTCGCGAGAAATATCTAAAAAATGAAGCTCCAAAAGGTACTATTATGCTTCTGGCCCCCTTTGTACAATTGCTCCTTTAAAATGGGCATGTTTCATAAAATGAAAAAATTAAGACAGTGGAATGAATAGTTACAAGATTACATAGACCTCACTCGACCCTCGTTTTGTTTATATTATCATCATACCATATCCTGAACAAGGTTAATAAAAATTGTCTGAGTTTCTTGCATAATACAAATAAACCATTGAAGATTAATAAAAATGTCCGATTTTCTTACATTTTTTTTTTTTTGCATGAAGCTGCGGATTTTAAGGAAGGCGCGACTGTGAGACGTCGAGGCCGTCCACGTAAGAACCAGAATCTGCAAGGAAAACGTCTTTTTGACGAGCAAAGTTCGAGTGAAGATGAGGACTCGATCAGAGGGTCAGATCAAGAAGACGATGCACCTTTGATACACTCTCTTAGGGCATCATCGTCCAAGCTGAGATCTCTCGGGCTTTCTAGAAAGGATCCGACCAAAACAGCGGAAGGTTCCGGACAAGCTACAGAGGAGCTGCCAACACTGAGAACTTCAAGTGGATACCTCTAAAACTGCAAAAGGTGATGATTTTTTGTGAATTACAAGGTTATATAAGGGACCATTGGCTCGAACTCAAAATTTCTCAACTGGGGCGGTCTGGAATTGGTCTGTTTTTGGTATCTTGACTGGGAATGTGTTATTTAGATGTAAATTAGAAGTTTGATTGTCAGGAGTTATATATATAGAATATCAGTTGGCCTCAATATTTTCGCTCTATATTTCGATGTGGCTTTTTATTTTTATTTTATTCCGATGGTCTTTTGTTGCACATGAAATTGAATCCCATGGAGACAGGTAAATAAGAAAATCAACAAACATTTTTTTTTTTAATATAATTAAAAGGAAAATAGAAATCAATTATTATTATTATTATTATTATTATTATTATGGGAAGTAAATTTAATTGCTGTTTCCTATTTTGTGCAAAGCAAAAATCCTATTTTTTCTTCAAATTTAAGTTTTTTTTTTTTTCCCATTTAAGTTTTACCTTTTTTCCAATCTTGTAATTAAATCCTCTAATAATACATGCTATGCATATATTTAAATATAATGATTTTCAAAATATTTTGGAACATAAAATTATGAAAAAGTTTCAATGAAAACTGTTTTTAAAATGAGAACATAGAATAAATCAGAATTATCATTGATTTTGATCTAATGGTTGTTGTAAATTGATTGAATACGCCATAATTGAATATGTAAAGTGTACATCGATCAACTTGTAAACGAACAGTGATACAACGATTTTTACAATAAAACCTCATGTGTCTACTTTTTATTGTCAACATATGCAAATATTTTTACGATTTTTCCATTAAAACCTCATGTTTTTTACATTCTATTATCAAAATACACAAATATTTTAGAATAAATATCTTTTTTACAAATTAAGTGATAAAACGTTTGTTACTTTGATTTGTAAAATTAAAAAGCCTAATTGCTTAAAATTTATGACCTTTTACTAAATTGCAAATAAATCTCAACATTTTTAAATTTGCCATTAAATTCTCAAACTTTTAATTGTATTGCATGTTAAGTTCCGATTGGTTTCTCAACCTCCTCCTTGTTGATGTGTCCGACGAAGTGATGATATGTCCTAGCAACAAACGACGTGGCTTTTTATGTCTTAAAATATACTCATATTCATTTCCACTTCATAATTTCTTCCTCTCTTACATACTCCCCAATTCCCAATTTTTTTCCTCTGCAACCCTAATTCGAGATTTTTCATCCCAAATTTGAGGAGCAGGAAAAATTGAGAGCCAATATCAACAGGAGAAACAACGAGATCGACGAACAAACTAATGGTAAACATTATCATAATGGTAAACAACGAGATCAACATATCATAAATACATCGGACACATATGTCGAAAAACTAATCGGAGTTTAACATGCGATATAATTAAAAGGTTGAAAATCTAATGGTAAACTTAAAAAAAAATTAAAATTTATTTGCAAATTAGTAAAAGATCATGTTTTTGGAGCAAATATGCCAAATTAAAATTATTTTGAAAAACCTACAGCAAAAACCTTTTAATATGTTGAAAGTGGGCGGCACAACATAACAGGTAGAAGAACTCCCGCATGGGCATAATAGTCAATTGACGACCTCTTAGCCTTATTAATCACTCTATACCTTCTAACCTACGCCATCCCAGGCGCACGGTAGCACCGCGGGTCACTCAATTTTATACAGTATTTATTACCCAAAAATATAGAAATGGAAACAAAATTGAAAAAAAATATTTTGCATTGCACTTGAGCAGAGAACCTCACAAAAATTTGCTCCCCATCTTCATCGTTCTGCTCCAATCCTCAGCGAGCTTGGCTCCATTGATCACAAGGTGAGTTTAATTCTCTCTGTTGTTACCCTTTTTACTGTCAGCCATATTTAGGGTTTTTTTGTGGGAGGTTTAATCCCTGCGCGCCTTCTGTTTTTCTTTGCTGAAGCTTCGCTTTTTGAACTGGAAATGCCCACAACTTGCATGTAAACGTACTCTTTTGGTGGGAGCAATCACTAAGTGTAATGAAATTATGTTTGTGCATGCTTATGTGGATGACTCATTGAGTTTTCTTTTTCGAATTTGTGTTGTATGAAGATTTTGAAGGAATGAGGGCATCAAACGAAGCTTCCACCAGCAGTGAGTTGATGAACAATTTATTTAGAAGCCGAAACGAGGTGGTAAGTTGATATTAGTATTTAGTGAAATTATGGATTCGATTTGCCGTCCCTTGTGTTGGTAACTAATAGTTATGCTGTCTTCCGGATGTTCATTATGGGTTGTTTTTGTAACTTTTTTCCTGCACCCCATTTGCAAAAGGCTTGATTTTTACAGGGTTTTTACTTATTTTTTATGTTGAATAAATTCGTTCGGATAGTTATTTATGCTCGCATTGACGATTCTAATAATTATATTTTGATTCGAAATGATGCATAATGATGGGCAAGAATTAGTTCTATGTTACCCGGCTAAGGTTTCCAGCTAGTGCAGTTCATTTAATAATTCTTTTAGGTTTCAGTTAGCTGAACTCTACTTTCGAAAGTTCACAGGAAGTTTGTATCTCATATAACTATGTTCCATAATAGGTCCTTGATTTAATTGCTGCTGTAAAAGGACTTCACGAGCTTAGCCCACAGCAACTTACCAAACTTATCAGGGATTCTGGAAACAATATTGTTCGGCATATTGCTGAAGATGGATCACACATACAGGTTCTTTTTTTGGCAGACTAAATCTGTTTTCTTCTTTTTCTTTTTCCCTAAAGTTGTTGATGGTGTAAGTATTTGAACTCTAGTGACATGAAGAAATTGATATCCCATGGATGATTATTGCAGGTTGACTTGGAAAAATTTGCAAGATATCTTCCTCTACACCTTATTGCAGTTGTTATGGCCTGGGAAAGGGACAAAGCCACGTTCAAGTATTTGTTATGTGGAGTTCTTTTGTTACATTCTATGTGTGACCTTGCTTCCCGGGTCCCCAAAATTGAGCAGGTTAATCAGAACTTATCTCGTTCTTGTCTATTACATGCAGCGGTTAATTATTTACTTATAATTGGAGCACATTTGCAGCTTGATGACTTGGGTTCCTTTACTTGTGATTTTTTTTCCCCCTTTACTTGTGCTTTCACATTGGAAATTTGTATCTGAGTTCTGACAAAAGTATAATACACAATTCTATTTTTCATCTTATTGCCCCTTCGTATTTCCTTGAGTTTTCTGTTCTTAATTGTATGCGACTTCATATATTTTTATTATATGTAATAATTTAATGTACTTATGTATCTTCATATCATGTGGTTATTCGATCATCAGTGTGTGCTACAGATATTGCTTGATGATGTGAGAGTATCTGAACAGCTGCTTGACCTGGTTTTTTATCTGCTAGTTCTCCTTGGTGCATACAGACAGGTTGTTTTCCACAGTCCCATATATGCTAGCTACCCCTCCCTCCTGTGGGTGTGTATTAAGTACTGACAATGTTGTTGTTCTAGGAGAATCAGAATATTCCCAATGATATGATTCTCTTGCATTCAGCCCTAGTGGCCTGCACTCTAAAATTGCTAATGGTGATTGTCTCACCACAGTACCAAGACGTTGCTCAAGTTTTGGCTGCCTATTACAAAGTAAGTTTTTACGGGTCTTCATATATTGTGGCAGGGTAAAATATTGTCAATCCTGTGACAAAGTTTCATAATTAACATTTGAATCAACTTCGTTCATTTTAATTTCAATTCGAGCTTAATTTCTCTTCTCAATTTTTGACTGGCAGTAACGTCAATGCACTTACTTCAATTTCTTGGCAGGTTGATATATTTATGGACTCCACATTTTCTGCCGTTTGTATAGATGTCAAGTATCTACAAACAAAGCTTTCTATTGAACAAACCGAGTCCACCGCTGGTGTTACTCCCCCTACTGCAGAAGAAACCTTGAATCATCTTTGCCAGCAGTGCGACTCCTCTCTGCAGTTTCTGCAGTCTTTATGTCAACAGAAGTCGTTCCGGGAACGCATTGTTAAGAATAAGGTTTTTGGTTTCTTCCAGTTTCCCTTAGGTTTTTGCTGTGTGAAAATGTTGGAATTGTGTTATGATGTCAAATGTGGCAAATAACTTGATTCTGCTCAAACAAAATTAGACTGGAAACTTCCAGTTTTGCAAGTTGCTGATTGAGCAACCGTTATGTGTGCTTAACCTGAATAGGTTGATACATTTCGTTAGATCTCCAGATTTTGCAAGTTGCTGATTGAGAAACTGTTATGTCTTCGAATTCAAAATGGAAAGTTGTCAATAATATTAAGTTCTTCCTGATCGTCTTTTGTTTCCTCTGTTATTGAATTCCAGGAGGTTTGTGGCAATGGAGGTGTTCTTGTACTGGTTCAGGCCGTCTTGAACCTTAAAATATCGCCTTTGTATCGTACATCCTCGTATATGGCTTCTATCTCTCGGTTGAAATCTAAAGCTTTATCTATTGTAAGTTCACATCTTGTTAAAATTGGCGGACATGGGCCGTATGGCTTTTGTTGTTTCAGTGGAAAAAATAAATCATAAACTGGACTTTGATCTGTTTTTTGTTTGGTTGTGCATATAAGACCTTCAGTTTTCAAGTAACCGTAACTTATTTTGCTGCAGCTCTTGCACCTATGTGAAGCAGAATGTGTCTCCTACCTGGATGAGGTTGCCGGTAATCCTAGAAGTCGGAATCTGGCGAAGTCTGTTGCACTACAGGTTTTTGTTTCATTAGTAAAAGTTTATCTCGTACATTTTTTGGTTTAGAATTTGGCAGATGAAATATGTGTTCTCATGTTTGAATAGAAATCGCACTTTCTAGTGCTCACATATGAATTAATTCTGAACTATATGTGAGAATCTTCTAATTAAGATGCCAAGTGGTGTATAGTTTGCCTTTTATATTCCCGTGATTTTCGTTGTTGAGGTGTGGGTAGCCTTGTGAATCTTGAATTCTATTTTTTCCATATCTGTCTGTGTACCCAAGTGAAGTGGTTTGGCATATTTTTGTTTAGGTTCTTGAATTATTAAAGAAGACGTTTGGTATAGATTCCAAGCAGTCAACAATTTCTTCTGAGATAGTTTATTCAAAAGGGCAACTGGAACTTAATGCAATGCGCCTGACGGACGTCTTCTCCGATGATTCAAATTTCCGTTCGTTTGTCATGTTGAACTTTGTAAGCTCTCTACAGTCATAAACCCTTGCACTTATGATTTTATCCTCTCTTTTTTTTTTTTTTTCCGCACATGAAAATAGTTTAATATATGCCAGCATGATATCTTGACTGAATGAAGCCATGTCCTATAATATTATACATGAAAATTGGAATGAAAGTTAACATCACAAACATGCAAGAGCTACTGTTAGTGATTAACTAGGCGTTTCGATCATTTTTAATTACCGTGCACTTGTTAAAGTTCTTGGCTTATTTTCTCTGAATTTAAAAATCTCATTGAGAAATCCATCCTCAGGGCAACTGTTTCGTAATTTGATTCTTTATTTATCTTGTGCACGGAATTCTGGACAACAATTTTATAAGGTTATGATTTTTATTCAATGTTTCACACTTATATTTTTATGTGGTATCTAGTGTCTTCCCTTCGACCTTTAATAGAAATTGGCCGCAAGTCTACGTATCCAGTACTCATTGGATGTGTGCATGTATGTTCTTTTTCCCTCAGACGGAAACTTTGGCAGCAATCTTTCTACTCCCACATGGAGAGTTCTTGCCTGGTTGGTGTTCATCTGATTTTCCAGCATGTGAAGATGATGGAACTTTGGAGTATGTATCATTCAGTTTATTGGATGGTTCAAATCTTTCTCATATTATATATAGTGGATGGTCGAAATTTCTCTCGTATTAAATTAATTTAATTTATAAATTACGATTTCAACTAGTTCTATTGGTTTAAGGACAACTAATGACTCATATTGTTCCTTGCAGCGTACCTCGCGCATCCTATGCTCATCAGAGAACATCCTTACTAATAAAAATAATCGCAAATCTTCACTGTTTTGTTCCCGATGTCTGCCAAGGTAAATTAGTACTCAATTTCATAGTTTCCATTTAGATATTATATTTGATCTTATAAGATAATCGTGAAGCTTTCCTTCAATCCCAGATGAGAAGGATCTCTTCCTAAATAAGTTCGTGCGGTTCATTCAGAAGGAATTTGTCGGACCCTCAGATGGATGCTCTTCTACTTTCAATACTGAAAGAACTGGAACAGTTTGCAAGAACTTATGTAAAACTACTCATCACTGTTCCACCTGTTTAAGTTAAATTGGATACACATCTCTATTTTCTGATGTGTATTTCCATGCAGGTTCATTGTTAAGTCATGCAGAGTCTTTAGTTCCCCGGTTTCTAAATGAAGAAGATGTGCAGCTCCTAAGGTTATTTTGATAATTTTCTTTCCTTCTTCAGTTCTTTGTCCTTTTTTCCCGTAACCTTGAATATTCAGTGGCATCTGCTTGGTAAATTAGAGTACTTTCATGTGTTATGATGGCAATATTTCACATTGCTTATGTATTTTGTATCTTAAATTTTAAATTCAAGTGCTATGATGGCAATACTTCACTCTGTATGTGTTTTTTATATCTTGAATTTTGATTGCCCTTATAATTCTACATTCTAATAGAAATTACCTTCTATGTAGGTTATTTATAAATCGGTTTGACTCTCTGGCTGTTACTGCCACAGCTGAAGATCATCTTATCCAAGTAACTACTCAACTTTTATTATTTAAGTTTGTTCTTTCTTTTATACATATCTACTCCCTCCTTTGAAATCCTTGTTCTTATTCTCCATATTAATGGTCCTTTTACGCTACCGAACTAAACTGCTGGAAGAAATTAACTGAAACTTTCATGAATCACTATCAGAAATACGTTTATTGTGTGAAATGAAAACTGTAACCTTGTTTAAAAAGATAAATTTAACTTTGAGATCTCTATACGTATATTGTGTGAACTATATAAAATATTTTTTAACAACTGAAAATTTTCTGGTACCCGTCAGGATGCTCGACATAGAGGAGCTTGCTCTTCACAACTACATACAGAAGCAGCATCAAACCAATGCATGGATCAGGGTAAACTGAATGGACGCCATATAAATTCAAAAGAAATCGAGAGGGATGCCCGGGCTTTCGAGACGAGCGGATCCGATTCCAGCCCTACACGAGGAAAGAACTCTATTGAGCGTATGGATATTGATCACTTCAAAGGGAGTAGTTTCGAGGAAGCTATGGACGATGAAAAGGCCGACGCCACACATTCTGACGAGAAGCAGCAAAGGAAACGTAAACGGACAATAATGAACGACAAGCAGATAGCCCTCATCGAGTCTGCTCTCGTTGATGAACCCGATATGCACCGTAATTCGGCCTCTTTGAAATCATGGTGCGACAAATTAAGTCTCCATGTGAGTGGATGTATTTTCATTTTCGTTTGGAATATGTTATCGTGTTATTTTGTTTTCTATGAATTTTTTTCTATTAATTTACTGTTCATGTCCTTCTCTCAGGGAGCTGAGGTTACTACTTCAAGACTCAAAAATTGGTAAGAGACCCCTGATATTTTTACACACGATTGTTCATGCTTTCTTTTTATTCGGTTTAGATTAATTATGCGTTGTGGTTAAAACATTCCATGAAATTTTAATTGATAGTAAAACTACTATTGCCTATGCTTCTGAGAATAAGGGTGTGTTTGTATATAAAATACCTCAATTTATACTTAAAATTTAACTCAACTATAACTCAACCATCATCAATATTATTAATCAAACATTCTTACATATCACATCAACTTTATTTCACTATTCATCTACTTACAAAAATTTTAACTAACCATCACTTCACATTATTTCTTTCCTTCTTTTACAGCAAATCAATTTTAATTATTTTATTTTAAATATTATTTTTATATAAACTCAAACCCCACTAACAACTAACCATATCACATATTTTCAAAACTAACCATGGTTAATAATAATAATAATAATAATAATAATAATAATAATAATAAAAAACAGTTTTTTGAGTGGATATATCCGTATCCAAGCACGTCCTGACTATATGAAACTTCACGTCCCTCTTTCTCCATGTTTATCACAACAGGCTCAATAACCGAAAAGCAAAACTCGCACGTGCTGCCAAGGACATGCGTGCACCGTACGAAGGGGATTCCCACCGTCTCGAAAGACAAGGCAGCGGGAATGCGGTTCACTCGGATTCACCCTCGAGTCCAATCGATGACTCTCAAGCCCAGCCCACTTCAAGAGAGAGTCCCAAAGAGGCCCAACACAACAACCCATTATTGGCTACTGATGCCAACGAGGATTTGCGAGCTTCCCGTGCTGCTGCTGATGATGCTGGAGATGTTGTGGGGCCCAGTTCGTACTTAGAACCGGGACAGTACGTGAGAATTGTGGGCGAGAATGGAGAGGAAATTGGGAGGGGGAAAGTATTTCAGGTCTGTGGTAAATGGTGCGGGAAGAATTTGGACGATTCGGGTGTGTGTGTTGTGGATTTTGTCGAGCTTTTGGTAGATAGGCTTTCGGAACTCCCGCATCCTATGGATGACACGGGTAACTCGTTCGATCAGGCCGAAAAACGGCTAGGGTGGGTGAGGGTGTTGTGGGATTCAAACAAGCTTTTCCCATTGCCACCTAGATGAATCGAATTGGGCTACTCTGGTGTGGTAAGATGAGAAAATATTTTCATACGCATTTTTTGTTCTTAGAGTCTGGTGGATCGACCCGTCTAACTGTTAGGTTGACTCACACAAGAATTTATAAATTGCCAAATAAACAAATATATATTGTGACCCTTCTCATGGTTAGTCTACTCTCTGCGCAGATTGCCAAAATGCAGCAACTTTTTGAATCGAAGTCGATTTTGCTTCACGGTTGGGTTGCAATGGGAAAGATGGGTTGCAATGGGAAAGAAGTCGTTTGGTGATGAGATACAAATGGCAATTTAGCAGATCGTTTGTAAGAGCAGATGTTTCGTTCCCAAAGGGGAAAAGAATATGTGACCGAGTACCGAAATTAAGAGCCATACTGTAACATGTCTGGAGTTGAATTCGTAATTTCTGTACAATTTTCGGTTGCTAGCCTGTATAGAACCATGCCTAAATTAGGATTTAGACTTTTTTTTTTTTTGTGGGAATGAAGTGTATCCATTTTTCGAAGTAATGCATGCACATTTTTGGGGATAGTTCCAACAAGCAAGCACATGTTGTATCTCTAGATGAGACTGTTGAATTTAAAACAATATGGCCGTTTATTCCTACAAATGTCATTTCAATTCATTTTTTTTTTTTTCTCCACGAGTATGAATTTGATTGTTCGATGCTACCAGGTTTTTAGTAGAGATGACATTCATTCAAGAACAGCCTAAATTGAAATTTCCTATACATCAGTTACGGAAAAATAATGAGAACAATCCCCGGGACAACGAGAAGTCGATGAACAAACCTTCGTTGGAGGGAAAAATGAGGTTGAATTTTAATGCTGAGATTGTATGAAATGGAAATACAAACTCTATTACCAAATCTTCTACTTTTTACTAAATCTTCTACATTTGCTTTCGTTGTTCAGTCCAAAAAGATAGGACCTTCAATTGTACTACCTCCTATTTTTAATATTTGTCGTTTTGAGAAGTTGTACACTAATTAAGAATATTTTTTTGGTCAATAATAACCTTATTTAATGAAGATAGAGATGAATGTTTTGAGAAAAAGTGAAGAGTGAATATGAAAATACGTAATGTATTTATTGGCTAAATGAGGGTAATAATGGAAAAATATGTACAAAAGATCCAAAACGACATTTATTTGGCAAATAGTTGAAAAAACTAAAATGACATTTTAAAAAAAATAGGAGGGAGTATATAAATTGTTTTAGAAAAAAAAAATTATGGAGATGCGGGGGATCGAACCCCGTGCCTCTCGCATGCAAAGCGAGCGCTCTACCATTTGAGCTACATCCCCATGATGGAAAAACAATATTTTTCTCATTCCCTATATCTTTCACATATAAAACAAACATCAATCTAGTTCCAAAGATCAAGATGTAAAAACACAAGAAGATTCACATAGTGTGGGAGACTCGGAGAAATGAGACCTGTAATAACAGATGAAATTTGTTTCAGTTTACTGAAAACACAATTCATCAAAAAACACTAGTTACTATCGAGTTTGTTGATAGTAAACCACAGCCAACGAAATCAAACGGACAATCTGCAGTCTGTTATTACATAATGTAGGTTTTCTCCTTGAACAAGACATGACATCATCGTATGAAAAATCATAGGAGCTGACATGGTGTCATTACATTCTTTGCCAATGCCTAATTCAAAACAGAGCAAGTTATATAGAATATTCACTCACTCATCAACTTGAGTTCCTCTGCAGAAATTCTCTTGAAACGAATAACACACTTCTTGATTTAGTATTAAATCGATACCAACCAAGGCAACTCAAACCACACGGAAAAACAAAACAAAACAAAACTGTGAAATGTACTTAAAAGCGTTCATCAGCTCACTTGAAAATATGATGCAAAGTTTAATGATACCCAAAACAAAACTGTGAAATGTGCTTAAAGAGTTCATCAGCTCACTTGAAAATATGAAACCATAGCAGATTTTATCTGAGGAGCAAACCCACAATGAAACCAATTTCATGAGCAAAGAATAAGACGACATTATCTAGTTATCTAGAATTCTAGATCAAGAAAAATACTGACTTTACTGTAAAATTAACTTGCAATATTATTTCTTGCACAAAATTGAGGAATGTCTACAGCAATTTAGATCTAACATTCACTCTCATCTACCACGAAAATATTGCCCTTCTCCGAAGGAGAGTCTCTTTAACAAAATATTACAAATCATTAGAATTTAGAAGCAATTTGTTACAAGCCAATGCCACTAAAACATAAAGGGCAACATAATATGCTTCAAAGTTGATCACACCAGTCACTATGGACAAAGAACAGTGAACAAAAATAAAGAAATTAGGAAGAAGATACCAAAATGACACCAGAATAATGTGCTAAAAGAAGGAGAATACCACAAGATATTAACATCATATGATACTGATCAAGAAAAGTACTAACTTTACCAAAAAAAAAGTAACTTTCAAATGAAAATTATACCAGAGAAGATACTAAACCATCACCATAACAAAAATTATAACCAAAAAAAGTTAAATCCATAACCAAATTGAATATTTCGGATCTCAAAATCAGGGTTTTACATAAACCAGCATTACGAAACAAAGGAAAGATCACACCCTATACAAAACCATACCATCTAACCAAGCCACCTAAACAATGGCCAAGAAGAACCCTAAAACTCCTGCGAGGCCGACCCAATCTCCTTGTCCTTCCCTCCGGCTTTCTTCGGCAAAAGAGTCTGGTGAATGTTGGGCAAAACACCACCGTTGGCAATAGTCACATGCCCCAAAAGCTTGCTCAGCTCCTCATCATTCCTCACCGCCAACTGAATGTGCCTTGGCACAATCCTATTCTTCTTATTATCCCTAGCAGCATTACCGGCAAGCTCCAAAACCTAATAACACGGTACAAACAAATTTGAATTCAGATCCCAGAAATCAAACACCATGAAAACAAATAAAAAGCCCAGCAGCTGAAATTACAAAAATCGAAGAAACTGACGGCGGATTGAGAGATTTACCTCAGCGGCGAGGTATTCAAGAACAGCAGAGAGGTAGACCGGCGCACCAGCTCCTACGCGCTCAGCGTATTTACCGGTCTTGAGGAAACGCGCTATCCTGCCGACGGGAAACTGGAGGCCGGCCTTCGACGAACGGGAAACGGATTTTGCCGATTTGGGCTTGCCACGGCCGCCTTTGGTGGTTGCAGAGCTCATCTTTTTTCGCAGGGATCTAAAACTTGAAAAAGATTGTGTTTTTGTGTAGAGAGCAAGAGATAGAAATAATGGCTCGAGGGGAGTGTTTTTATAGATATTGATGCTTGATTCTGATTGGTCGATAGGGGGAAGGCGAGGATTGCCAGCGTGGCAGTTGAATTTTGTGGAGCGAACGAACATGGGAAAATGACTTTTGAATACTTTTTATTTGTTTGTTTTGGCGCGCTACGAGCCCGAAAATGAAATATTTGGGCCTCCTAAATCAAATGGGCCCAATTCAGTTGTCCAATTCAGTTGAGTTGAAAATAAAATAGTATAAATTTTAATTTTTATTTGTTGGGAATGATGTAAAATGATGATTCATATTACAAACGTAAATTCTTATTCTTATATTAGATGACCTAAAATCACATACTTTTATGACCATGTAACATTTTAATTTAACTATATGCCTAGTTTGTATAAATATGCTTATATCATTTATATATATGAAATAAAATTAATAGCATGAGAATATATATATAAATGACACACAAAAAACTCATGTGAGACATCCCCACATGGAGCAACTTAATTGGGTGTTGGCTCCATAAGGGAGTCAACCATTGACTCTATAGCATTACTGTATAAAATGTGACCTGTGATTGTCAATTAATTAGAAATTCTATGACACCCATACACGCGCCATAAGACTATGTTTATTGGTGACCCAACTCTTGGGTCACCCAGATAAAGACAACAAAAAAAAATAAAAAAAAAATGAAAGGTCATCAAAATTTTGTGCAACCCAGATCACAATGTGACCTTGGGTTGCAACCCGGTTGTGACTTGGGAATGAGACACTTGTCCTATTTCTATTGGATAAGTGTATTATTTTATTAAAAACAAGGTTTTAAATAGCGAGCTAAAACGTTTATGACATTGTAGCTATAGCGGAGCTATAGCGGAGATTTAGCGGGATTTAGCGGCTAAATTGCACATGAATACAAATAGCAGCACGCTGTAAAAAAAAAAAGTTATTTCTCAAATAGAACGTGTCACCCTCATAACCATCGGGGTCGGGGAGCGCCAGCCTCATCGCCTCGCGGTCAAGTTTTCCGGCAAACTCAGACCCCGCCACCACCGCCTCCCACGCATCGAAAATATGGTCGAAGTACTGAATGGCGGCGGGGCAAAGCCTGTCGAGAAACTCAGGTGAATTGCAGAAAGCCCTGACGACTTCTTTGCGGTAGGTCTCGACGAAGGCGGAGCCCACGGCGGACTTTAGAAATGACTTCCGGCCCTGCACGGTGCCGATATCCCTCTCGAACACAACCTCATCCTGAGCCTTCTCGAGGTCGGCCTTGAGCTTCTCGTTCTCATGGACAACTTTAGCGAGCTATTTATTTTCTTGATTAAAAAAGAATAAAAAATACTAAAATTCATATTTTTTATGCTCTATAAATAGAGACTATATTTGATAGGTTTGAAACATAAATGAAATTTTAAATAAATAAAAATAAAATGAATATATTAGGTTGTGTTGGGTTGTGGATAAAGACAATTTGAGTTGAAGGCTTGAATTTGTAAGTGGGAGAAAGTGGAATAATTTTTAAGTATTAGGTTGGGTTGAGTTGGGTCATTGATAAATATGGTCTAAGGCATGCTACAATATATGGCTTTACAAGGTTGCTTTATCAATTTCATTTATCAATTCCAACATAAAAACAATTAAGCAACCCTGCATAACTCGGACAGATCGACGCAGGCCGAGCATGAAATTCTCTATCTTCTTCGCGATAACCGATTTGCCCTCTTCTACAAAGCACTAGAATTTTTGATTTGGGGATTGAATTATCGTAGCCTATAGGAATTTTTTACAGATGGCTTAAGGGCATCTTTAATAAATAAAATTGTCATGTTGGAATTAATAAATAAAATTGATAAAGCCACCTCATAAAGTCACATCAAATTGTGGCATGTCTTATGGCACCAGTGTCATAGAATTTCTGGTCAACAAAGAGCTAATTGTACCTTGTGATTTGTGTCTTGTGATTACTATATAATAAGCAACATAACAATTTAGATTGAATCAAACATATCATTGTTTTGGCTTACTTCTTATCCCAAAATAATACTACTATTACTTAATTGTCATTT